TTAAGAACCCAACTTGAGGCAGTATCACAAGAAGCCTTTACATATATTCATTGAAGCTCCAAAGTATGGATCTGACCTGGCAAACACTTACTGCCATGAGCAGTCTCATTCAGAGTGTTTTACGGGTCCATACCCTATATTTAAGTAAACTATTAAAGTTTTCCAAATTCCATTTTTCATATTTGCTGATTGATGAGATATTCAGTTTCTGTTCAATTCTTAATCAGCCTATTTTATGCAGTGATGCCACACAGTCACATGAGTGTCATCACAGTCATTTACTAAAGGAAATATGATGCTTCCAGTAGGAGCTTTGCTATCACTGAATAAATCAGATAAATGGGCAGGGTGATTTTAAAAGAATATGCTTCATTTTTAGATCTCGGGAATCAGCAATGATGGGAAAATGAAGGATAGAAACATCATATTACAACCAAAGAGAAGCTTACAAAAGTGTGTGTAAATATAGACAAACACAGATATACATTTTTTTCCTGAATGTGCAGGGCCTCCTTTAACTATAGCTTTATGATATTCTGTGAAGCAAATAGGAAGCCTTTCATTATTAAAATTTGGTATGTCCTGGTTAAACACATTCATTCTAGTTACTCAGCCTGCAAAAGGATTAATTTCTCATGATAGCCCAATTTCAGTAACTTCAAGAAGAGCTTTTCTCATGCAAAGAGACAAGTCTTACAGGGCAAGTTCCTTAGCTAGTGTAATCAGCATATATCTAGTGAAGTTGAGAGAGCTACATTGATTTACATCAATTAAGTATCTGGCCATATATCTCCAAAAGTTGGCAAATAAAATGACATCCAGTGCCGCGACTACTAGCAATCTGACCATAATCTAGTAGTCCATAAAATTATCATCATGAGCCTTCCTATAAAAATAATTTGCTTGCCCGTTTTAAAACTTACTAATTTACATGTGACTATAATACTAAATTAAAGTACAACTTAATACATATTAAACCTTAGTAAAATAGATCAAGAAGTGTCTATTATCATTTGGAATGACATTTTACCTAAATTTAATCAAACTTGACTAACACTTTCAAGTTATTTTTAACAGAATGTTTTCCACATGATAGTCTACACCTTATTCCTCTGTACTTCCATGTAAAGCTTTCAACATCTTCCTGAGTATCCTTTGCCCCATCCTTAGTACTTTGTTCAGCTATAGAGAAGCGTGCAATGTTAACAATCTGGGACCCTCTTTAAAACTGCAATGTAGCCATTAATAGGTAAAATCTGTAAAATTGACACTTTAACTGTGCTGTGTCTGTATTGATGCATCACTGTAAAAGCAGCCATCTTTTTAATTGTTAGTGTTCTGTTTTCAAAAATCAACACAAGCATCTGCATAAATGCACAAGCATTTTCTTAAAAAAACACATAGCATTTAATCCTTTAAAAATCTCCCATCTGTTAGTATCTGGACTACTGTGTTGAAATAAGACACCAGTTTGAAAATGTGCCATAAGGCACACATGTACAGGTTGTCTACACTGGGTCAGTAAATAATGTTACAAATTAATATTGTGATTGCTGAGTATTCCTAAGTATAAAAGAAAATTGGTTTTTTTTTTTGCTTGTTTAATGTAGTCTTCCTAATGCAAAAGTCACTATCATGATACTAAGCTTTATACTTGTGTATATCACATTAGTGCTTCCACTGTAACCATAGTGTTAGTCTACCCTACATCACAGAAATAATACTGAGAAAATATGTAGTATCTTCACCTTATAAAAAAAACAGTATGGTTATAGTATAATGAGCAAAATCAATCTAAACAGATGAGATGACTACATAATAGAAGATATTTTTTCCCTAGAGAACAACCCTGCTGTTCCTTTTCAGATACATATTGGACAGCAATGTCCACTTTGTATTTTGGACCTTTGATGAGAACCCTAGAAATATATTACAAGGTCAGTAATTTCTCCTTAAAATCAGCAAGGACTTTTTTTAAAAAACCCAAATGTCTTAATAAAAATACAGTTTAAAACTACTTGTATTGAGATTGTGAAGGCTGAATGCACGAGAGCTGTCAATATGCTGACAAGAATTGTTATCAATATATTATTATTTTGACACATTTATTTTATTGTAAAGTTCTAGTGTTGGAAACAGTATTGCTTCAAGCTGGATGATGCAAGATAAAAGACGGTAGCAATGTGATTTAATTTAATATGCTCAGCGTGTACATGTTACTCAGTTGTAACTACCAGGATTACTGTGTTAAGGGGAAGACCTTAGAACTGCTAAGCATAGTTTCTAAGAGCGTTCATTAGACTATTTATTAGATATTGCAGGCACAAAGAAGAAATGGGCTACTCCAATTTCTGTTCTTTAATATCTGCAAAGGAAAAGAGTACCAGAAAAACAGCTGCCTTCAATTACAGACCTGAAATGAGGAATTTATTTCTCTTATTAAACATAAGAACCTCATCTCTAACATTATTAAAGGTCCAGATATGTTAGTGCATAATTTCAACGCTCCAGTAGATTTGTTTTACTGATAATGGTTTAGGCCATGTGCATTTTCCTCATGGTGTAAAAACTATAAGGCACCTTCATGTTTTTTATTTCACTGAACATTTTTCTAGGCTTTAAAAATACTGCTGAAGTTGTTAATGAGTTTAATGTTTGTATTTACTTTTATTTTGTATAGAAATAGCAATAGATACAGGCTCAATCTGAGCCTCTATATCTCAATGAAAACATGAGTAAAATGTTTGTTGTCCTAAAAGCAAGTCTGTTGATTGTCCCTACATATTAACAAGTGAAATAATCAAATGATAATGCCATATTCTATCCTATACTGATCAAAGCAATATTCATTAGATGATTTTGGAAAAGGCAAAAGCTGGGTCATGCCAGTATTTGGCCTTGCCCTCCAAATTCTAATACTCAAACAGAAAACAGGTGTATCTGCTCCTTCTGCATCAAAATTCAGACCACGAGACATCACAGCATCAGAACAATGAAAAAATGCATTGCTCTCATAGATTCTGGATTCTGCTGGATCAGCCAATATTTGGCCACAACTTCCCCGGCCCTCAACTCTACTGCATCAACGGAAAATAAATGTAGACACTCCTTACTCCCAAAAAATTTGGACCTCAAAGCATTCAGTTCTACAAATGCAGCAACACAAATTCCTGGATTCTCTACCTGAATCCTGACAGATCTTGTCAATTTTGTGGCCTACTCTGCTAAATTCCACTGCCTAATCAAAGAACACATTTAGATGCTCATATTTCACCTTAAAAATGTGAACCCTGCTATGCCCTGCAAAATTCATATTTGGCTTCTGAATCATCCAAGATCATACTAAATTTGAGCCACAGTCTCAGAATTTGTACTATCAAAATAGAAAATAAGTCTTGCTTCTTCTCTTCCACCAAAAAATGTGGAATGAATCTTTGTCTGATATTTCCATTGATTTCAATGGGGCCAGAATTTCATTGCTCGTTTCAGATACAAAATAGCTGCAAAAACCTTTCCAATTGAGCTACGTTTTGGCGGCATAATACCCAGTTTTACCATCTAAACTTGGTAAATAAGCAACTCTGATAGCCCTCCAGAGTAATACAGATACCAAGCATCATGGTGCAACATATTTAGTGAAAATTATGCTTGGTTTTATAGGCTCATATAAAGCTATAAAGATTCATTTTCATATTAAAAGAAAAATTATACAGCCCTAACTTAGTACTTAGTCAATAAATAGGGCATGATTATCATTTATTCTAAGGCTTCTTTCCTTCACTCTGACACTTCTTTGCGTCCACTTACAGGCTCCTTGACACTGTCATTGCGATGTAAAGACGTCCTTTCGTGTAAATTAGAATAAGGCCAATGAGCTGCCAGCTATTTTCTATTCTGAAGTTTTGTTGTTATTCCATCTTCTAAACAAATAATGCTCTGACTTGGATTTTTCTTCAAGAATAAATATGTATGGCTGGTCACGTATGGAACATCTCAGCTCAGAGGAGTGTTTCTAATGCTTTCTTGTGAAAGTTCTTGTTAACATTACTTACACTATGTAGAGCGAAGTTTGTTGCAGTTTTAGTGACATGTTTGTGTTTTATACAGTTATCAAAGGCACAACTCCAAAAACATTTTGTTTGTTTGTTTGCCACACTACTGGACCACTAGATGTTGGGATGCCGGATCAAGATTTACAGTGCTGTGGGTCTCAGGTACATCATGTCTCCATTTTTAAGGGGCAGTAGGTGCAGCTAAACATGAGGCCTAGTTAGTCAGTGGAATTTCACAGATTAAGACTAAAAATTGGCAGGATTTAGCTACCAAGTACCTGCAATGTTATTACATCTGAATGCATCAAAGTCCAGATTTTTGGTGTCAGAAGAGTATTTATATTCTCTATTGATGCTGTGAAGTTGGGGGCTTGGGATAAAAAATTCTCTAGTTCCAAGCATCAGGTCTGGATTTGGGGGGTACTTTCTATGCCAGAATACATCATGCTGTATGGATTCCGTCGGTGCAAAAACGAGCATTTATACTTGCTCAATTTAAGCATTAGAATTTTGGAGGCGTGAGCCAAATTCTACCTCCATCAAGATTGAGGTCCTGGACCTGGATTTTTGCTGCATTATTACTCCTGGATGCACTAGGGGTTTGTCTTCGTGTGTGTGTGTGTGTGTGTGTGTGTGTGTGTGTTTTAGTATAATAGGGGCAACTAGACTTGTTCCCCATTTAGACAGTGACATTTCGGAGGCTGGATTCAGTAGCTTCCACCTTTTACTCATATCCTATGGTTCTTCCTCTCCCCCATCCCCCCAAAATTGTAAAATATATCTGAGGCAGGAGGTATGCAGTAACATTGCCTGACTTAGTGTATCAAAGCCTAGAAAGGCTTCAGAGCCATTTCATGCCATTCATTGGCAATCTAGCTATGCAATGAAGGTGTTGCATCCCCAGCAGTGCTGTACAAAGCAATATGCAGTTACAGCGCAAACACTTACCCAGTCCTCGAAGTGGCGGCTCCCATTCTGCAGCAAGTCCTCAAACTGGATAGTGCAATTAGCCACAAAGTCATCGTACCCGATGGGGGCATCGTGGAAAACAGCCATCTCAATCTTCCTGCCATTGCAAACGTCAGTGACAAACTCGTCATTCCAGGCAGGGCTGTTGGTCTTTTGCTTGGTCGAGGTCTGCCCGATCCTGGAATCGTCCACGTTGAGGGCGATGTAAGGGTCCAGCAAAAAGGTCTGTGGTCTGGGACCCACCGCATGCCTCAGTGACCAAGGTGTGGGTTTCAGATTCACCGCCTCGCAGATCTTGATTTTCAGCAAGCCGTTAAAAACCACCATGGTTGAATGGCTTCACTTTTCCTGGGACTAGGCACTCTCACACTCACACGCTCACACTCACACACGCGCGGGGAGGGAGGGAGCCAAGGAGATCTCACCAATAAATAGGAGGGCAGGTCTTCGAGAGGGGGGAGCAGACCACAGCGTGGGGGCTCCCTTCTTATTGCTACTGCTGCTACCTTTGATTATTATTTAGCCTTTGCTCTTGCAACACCCCGTGAATACATACAATTGTCTTGCCTGTGTTTCTAACGGAAAACAAGGGAGGAAGGGAGGGGAGGCGGGGGGCGGCCGTGTTTGCAAAGCCCTCCAAAAACGCGATCAAAATCCGAGCATAACAAACCCTTGGGGTGGGCAACAGATTTTTCCCTTCATCTAGATCATAATCCTGGATCAGGGCTTGCAAAGGAGGCAAAGCCGCGATCCGAGGCTCTTGCTCACGCTAGTGCTGTCTGTGGGCAGCAGCAGCAACCCACACACACACACACACACAAATCCGAACCGCCACCAAGCCAAACAACCAGCCCTGCCTACTTCACAGCCTCCGCTCAGAAAACACACGCCCGGGGACCTTACATCCGCATAGGATCGAGGAGCCTCCTCGCCTTCTCCTCCTCCTCCTCCTCCTCAAAGGCCAAGGATCCAGTGGAACGAATCCAATGCATGAGGGGAGTCTGCTCCGGATCGGGCTCTTTGGAGATTTAAAAAGGCATGGGGTGACCAGCGCCTTCTGGCTGCTTAGCGCCGCGGGCTCGCCTTGGTGCTGGGCTGAGGAGTAGCAGCAGCAGCACCACCCCACCTCTCTTGCCTCTCCCCCGCTCTGTGTGTGTCTCGCTCTCTAATGCAGGAAATGCGCAAAAGACGTCAGTGTGTGTGTGTGAATAGAAAGTTTTGCCTGTTGGGGGAGCAATACGGTAAAAGTGAGCATGAAAGAGCAACAGCTACAAGCAAGTCAAGAAACCACGGCCGGGGTCGTGACTCCCTCGGACTCAATGAGCGCTGCCCTGCATATTCATGGAGCGATTTGCAGTGGTGGGGTTTTCAGGGGCGGACTGAGGCGCTGGGCTTCCTTCCCCTTCCCCCACTTTGCTGAAAATAAAAGTTGTGAACCAGTGTAGGGAAAAAACATCCCTGATCGTCTGCCTCTGAAAGTCTGCCTCTGAAGTTTTAAACAGCACCACGGCTTTAAGTTCTTTATCACTCAAATCCTGCTGCAAATAAACATTGCAAACATCTATCTACCACCCCTCCCAATGTATTATTGAAAGCCAAGGCTGCTCCATAGTAGTTACTGTTGTATGATTTATTTCCACTCTAATGTGGATGATCTCAAGACGTTACTGTTATTCCACAGACTGCAAATCCATAGTCAAATGTGTATTTGTGCCAATATACGGCGCGGGCAAAGAAAAAAAAAGATGTCAACGCCTAACGTAAATATTTCTTTCTGAGGAATTTCCACTGCGGCTGTTTGTTGTTTTCTTTACTGTCTTTCTTCTCTGCAACTACAAAATGCCGCTGGAATCCCTTTAGGACTCTGCGATAAATTGTTGTTGACAAATGCAAGCTTCGGTTTCTTGGACTCCTTTTCCCTTTTAATCGCTTTGATCATTGCTGGCTGACAACATTAACCCTCACCTCCCCGCTGCAAGCAAAGGAAGCAGAACGTCTCTCCTTTTTGCTGTGCCTTCTCTCAGCCCTCCCCATTGGGCAGCAGCCGTAAGATAGGCAGGCTGACGTCATTTGAGGGGCAGAGCTTTTAGCTTCTTTAGGAAGAATTTCCCTTCCGTCCCCAACTGCTGGGAAGTGACCTGGGAGCTAAAGGAAAGCCGTCCTCCAAGGCAGAGCTTTGCTTTGCGAGGAAAGGACCTGGAGTCGCCTCCCCTTGGACAAGGACTTTAGATGGAAACAAAGGACCCAAGAGACTTTATTTGAAAAGATAATTTCCCTGACTATTTTGCCTGCAATACTTTGACATAAGTAATACCGTCTGTGTAAAAAGAATGTGATTTTTCCACTATTGCTAGAACTATAATCAAATACACCACCCAAAAACACTCTCTGTATACCATCCCTTTGTCATGAATCACTGTGGCTTTTTCTGCTGTTGATCATCTCATATTTGTATGTGTGCCAACTTAAACAGAATTCCCATAACATTCAATAAGTGTTTAACTATTTTGTCATGATCTGTCCTCCAGTGAATACTGGAAAAAAAATACCAGTGTGAAATACTTACTCAACCTGATAGTTATTAAATGCAAAAAAATAAATAAAAAATAACCGAAACCCAGCAACCTTATCATGGTTGCCCAAGGGTTTTTGGCAGGTAAGGCAAACTGACCCCCTCCCTGCCCAACATTCAATATTAAGAAAAATGAGACTAGAATGAAATGTTACCTTTGTTTACTTGGAATTCAAAATGAACAATGTAAATTTAAAAAAAATCTATTATAGACATTGCATTTTAAGTTGCAACTGTCTTCCTTCCAAAGGGACTGATTTTTGGGAAGCTGATTTGGGATAATCTTTATTCTCTGCTACTAAATGAAGTTTGTTTTTTGTGACCCTTTTGCACTGGGCCATTGATTGGTGTAAACATTTAGAACTTTTCTTTCTCTGGTATATTTTATTTTATCATTTCAATGTTCACTTAAAACTATCTAAAAATTAAAAAGAATGACAGAATTTCTATTATTATTGACCATTATTGCAATTACAACAGAAAAGTATGTATACGTTAAGTGGTATTTGTTAACATTAGCAGTCAGGTATATGAAAATCAGGACTTTACTATTAATTTAACAGTAATAGTCTACAATAAAAACACAGTCATAGAATCCTAGAACTGGAAGGGACCTCGAGATATCAAGTCCAGCCCCCTGCCCTCATGGCAGGATCAAGCATGCTCTATATCAGGGGTGGGCTAAAGGGCCTCCATGGGCAGGATCCAGCCCAAGCCCCTGCTGCTCATAGAGCCTGGGGTCAGGGGAGCACCTGAAGCCTTCTCTGTTCTGTTCCTGACCTGCGAGAATGTGTGCAGTATGCAGCATTTCAAAGCGCCATGCACTGCTCGCAGGCGGGGGCAGAGCAGAGAAGGCTTCGCGCACTGCCCCACCTCCAGGCCTTTATTGGCCTGGGGGTGGAGGAGTGCATGAAGCCTCCTCCCGCCCTGCCAGGAGCACGTGGCACTTTGAAGCACCGCGCACTGCTTGCAGGGTGTGGGGGAGAGCAGAGGAGGCTTCCCGCGCTCCCCCAGCCACATGCCAATCAGGGCTTGGGGGCGGGGGAGCTGTGTGAAGTTTCCTTCATCCTGCCCCAGCCCTGTGAGGAGCCCATGGCACTTTGAAGTGCCATGGGTTCCTCGCAGAGCAGGAGGAGGCTTCCCATGTTCCCCAGGCCCTGATTGGCCTGTGGGTGGGGGAGCGTGCCAAGCCTCTTCCAGGGCATGGGTGCCAAGTGGGAAGGGGGAGCAAAGGGGTAGCCTCCCTTCCCATTTAGGCCCCGCCCCTTCCAGGGTGACCTGAGGCTACTTCTCAAATTTTTGAAGTGGCCCCTGGGCAAAAATTATTGCCCACCCCTGGTGTATATTATCCCTGATAGCTGTCTGTCTAACCTGCTCTTAAATATCTTAAATGATAGAGATTCCACAACTTCCCTAGGCAATTTATTCCAGTGTTTAACCACCCTGACAGCTAGGAAATTTTTCCTAATGTCCAACCTAAATCTCCCTTGCTGCAGTTTAAGCTCACTGCTTCTTGTCCTATCATCAGAGACCAAGAAGAATAATTCCCCCTCTCTCCATGACACCCTTTTAGATACCTGAAAATTGCTATCATGTCCCCTCTTAGTCTTCTCTTTTCAAAACTAAACAAGCCCAATTCCTTCAGCCTTACCTCATAGCTCATGTTTTCCAGACCTTTAATCATTTTTGTTGCTCTTCTCTGACCTTCTCCAATTTCTCCACATCTTTCTTGAATCTGGCACCCAGAACTGGACACAATACTCCAATTGAGACCTAATCAGCACAGAGTAGAGTGGAAGAATGACTTCTCGTGCCTTGCTCACAACACTCCTATTAATGCATCCCAGAATAATGTTTGCTTTTTTTGCTACAGTGTCAAACTGTAGACTCATATTTAGCTTGTAGCCCACTATAACCCCTAGATCCCTTTCTGCAGTACTCCTTCCTAGACAGTCACTTCCAGTTCTGAATGTGTGAAATGGATTGCTCCTTCCTAAGTGGAGTGCTTTGCATTTGTCCTTACTAAACTTCATCCTGTCTACCTCAGACCAATTCTCCTGTTTGTCCAGATCATTTTGAATTAGGAGCCTATCCTCCAAAGCACTTGCAACTCCTCCCACCTTGATATCATCTGCAAACTTAGTAAGTGTAATCTCTATGCAATCATCTCAATTGTTGATGAAGATATTGAACAGAAATGGTGCCATAACAGAGCCCTGTGGAACCCCACTTGTTATGCCCTTCCAGCATGACTATGAACCGTTAATAACTACTCTCTAAGTGTTACACTGTAACACTATTTTAAAATAACTAGCACTATTCAAAAATAACTTAGTCTGTGTCTACATAGCAGGCAGTTATTTTGAAATAGTGTCAAAATATTGTCAAGCTGGAGGACTTCTTACTCCAACTCTAACCCTCATTGTACGAGGAATAAGGGAAGTCGGAGGAAGAGTGCTCTATTTTGAAATAAGTGCTGTGTAGACGCTCCCTATTTTGAAAGAAGCTGTTTTGAAATAAGATATGCGATAGACGTAGCTCACTTTGCATATCTTATTTTGAGTTAAGCCCTGAAGTGTAGACACTCCCTAAATTGTATTTGCTTAGTTTATTGATAAGCATATCATGTGAGACCGTATCACATGCATTACGAAAGTCTAGGTATACCATGTCCACCACTTCTTCCTTATCTTTGTTATCCTATTAAAGAAAGCTATCAAATTGGTTTGGCATGATTTGTTCTTTACAAATCCAT